ATGCCTGAAGCCATATGGAGAAAGCCTTCTTTCTCTTTCTTGTTGAATTAGCCCTATATCTTCTATCTGGATCACTTAAATTTACAGTATAATGCCATGTAAACCAGAATCTTTTTCTTAACTGTGGTATCCCAAGTACTTAACAGCATACAACTCCAGAGGGCCTGTTGCTCTGCAGCCCCAGTCTTGCACAGTGGAAGTCAGTGGGAGTTTTGTAACTGAATTCAGGGGTTTCAAGATCAAGCCTTAAGTGCAGTTACCTTACTGGAAACGTGGGATTTGAAAGAATGGCTCATATCTCTAAGAAGAAATGTTTTGCAACTTCTGCAAGTTATGCAAATCATGCTTTTCCCCTTTTCCTGCTCTCCTGATAAGTCAACAAACCTTTTCCTGACAGTGGAAACAACTGAAAAGATATTTCTTAGAGTGTAAGGAGATGAAGTACTACGCCTACGGTATTTTCTATATAGTGAGTCAAAGGCAGAGAGGATTGTCAGCGCGTACTTCACCTCTGCTGTCCCATTACTGACTTTATCCCAGTCATTTTGTATTTTATTCTTGCTATTGTCAATTTAGATTATAATTTAGAATCTAATGAGTAAGTGGTTTCAAAGGCTGCAGTGGAGGCTGTAGTCTTTATATGTAAAATACACTTCCACTGGGCGATAGTTTCATGGAGACAAATGTCAGTGCAGCTCTGGAGCAGGCCTGCACGACACACAGGAATTAGGAGAACATGATCTCAAGTCTAAGCTAAGGGAGTGTTAAGAATAATATAAAATTTTGACTTTGTGGTGTTAAACTGAAGAGATCGAGACAGACAGGAATAATGAAGAATCAGGGCACCCCACCAAGTCTGAGGAGACTGATTTAGGTTGCATCTTCAGGCCCTGTAAAGGTGTGTAGGCCAAGGTAATTCACTACAAGCTCTATGGTGCAACAACCAGCCAAAGCCACTCATCATCTGTCACCTGCTTTTGATCTTCTGAGATCTCTTAAGACACCTGTCTGAAGTTGTATAGAATAGCAGCAAATGTAACTTCTAGAATGAAGAGTGTATTGTGAGGTGCATCCTTTCTGTCCTGAAACGAGGAAGCTTTAAGCAGTTGGTGGAGTATTTGCCATTGTCTTTGGTGTAAGATCACTCTTTTCCTATGGACATGTTTATTTTTCAAAACAAGAAACAGAAGTCATTGAGCAGTGCAACTTCTGTGCCAAAAAGTCTTGATTATCGCAGGACTCTGAAAAAGAGAAAAGTTTCCTTTTGTGATAATTTTATCATTGTCCTTTTCTGACCAGAACTTTTTTCTTTTGTGATACTTCTGAGCTTTACTTGCAAAGTATCCACTGTAGGAAACTGGGATGAAATCTAATAATTTGGTTTGGGGATGTGTACAAAGGAGAAGAAAATATCTCCTGTGTCAAAGTAAATTTTTCAGAAATTGCCCCAGTGCTCTGAATTTTTGCATTAATGTGCAGAACTTGGCACCTGTGCCTGTAGGTATTGGCTGGCTATTGGGGAGAAAACCATATAGCAGCAGGGATCTTCTAAATCTTTTCTCCCTTTGCTATAGTGGAGACATTTGCTCCCATTATTTCTTTTGGTCACATAGTTCTTTCATTTGGATTTTGTGTCTACAGGACAGTTTAAAAAAACCCCACAACTTGCTGTCCACAGTCTTCACAGAATGGAAATTTAACTGCATATGTAAGGCACTACTTTTGGGTCTCTCCTCTTCTTTCCGTACTGTTTGGAACAGAAAGGTTGCTATGGCAAAATGTTAAAGGAGTCATGAATATTTCTGCTATGGTTTATACGTATGTATTGTGGCAGTGCAGTAAACCCCCTTTTTTGACATGGTTTTGGCTTAATTTTCTTATTGCTGACTCATCGGTGATGAGCCAGCTGCTTAATGTGTTGTTTAATTTCCTTTTGTCTTTTTGTTCTTAAAAGTCTTTGCCACAATGTACAAACCCCCACTAACAATATCTGATTTTGCAAACCATGGCAAGAATTTGTTCTGAGGGTTTTTTCTAGGGTAACACTGAGACTTTTCTGTATAGTTTATATTCTTCAACACATGCTGTGGGAAGATTAGTGTGGGGTTTTTTTCAGTCTGTAATGTTCTTTCAATAAGAAATTACTTCCATTTGATAAGGAGAATTTAATCTGTTGGCCACAGCATCAGACCAAAGACAAAACAGGTCTTCGTTTTGCCATTTTATTTAGTTTACTGTGTACATTGGGGACTGAAACGCTGTGGCTAAAATACTGCAGCAGCTGACCACAGCGGTACTTTGCTTCAGATGTTATGAATTAAAATCTGGCATCTTTTTAAATTGGTTTGTTCACTGTAACCAGTGAGTAAACTGTGCTCCTTGTTGGTCAGTCTTTGCTATTTTTATTGCAGTGGGAGTCTTCTCCCTGACAGTCCCCTTTTCCTGCAGAGGAACTCCTTAACCTGGGAGACCAGTGCGCTATTCTGCTGGAGGTGGTAGATGCATTCAAGGAATGGTTTGCTATGAGAATCTCAGCTGTGTTTAAACTCGGGAAACTTGGAAAAGCTGGGGTCATACAGAGGTGAGAAAACTGGCTTTGGAGGTGCTGAATGCCCTGCTCATCAGCTTATCACTGACATCAGTTAATTGCTGCCACCCCTGACTCTGTGGCTGGATGGTATGTGGTGTCTTAGAGATGCTTTGGGGTAGCTTTGCGGTGTGCAGACATCCTCTGCTTGACCTGCAGCCAGAACAAATTTGGCAAATAACGCTAGTTTCCCCAAGGACTTGATTTGTTATTTCTTTCTGCTTCTAGGTGTCACTCAGTCTCTCCACCGCCTCTTTTGTCCCCGCGAAGAAGCCCAGCCTATCCCCTCAGCGATAGTGAGGACTCTTGCCGCTCCACTCGTCTCACCAAAGCCTCCAGCTCCAGACTGCGCCTCAAGGACTGGAGCAGCCGCACGTCTACGCTGCGAAGCACCTCCACGAGCCCATCGGACACCGACTCCCCGAGCCACCCACTCAAAGCCGTCAGCGTGGGCACTTTGGATAAAAGGCTGTCCGTGTTCAAGGCCGAGGACCAAAAGGAGAGTCAAAAGGAGGCTCAAGATGGGGAAGCGATAGGGAGCCACCTGCTCGCCCGGAGCACTCTGTCCTTGGGCACTGCCACCAACTTGCGGAATCTTTCCCTCAGCCGAGCGAGCGTCCGCTCCCAGGCACTGGACATCAGGCAGAAGATCACAGAATGGGAGTGCCGCCGGGAGCCGTCCCCCAGGATGAGCGGGTGTGTGGACAAGAGGGATGGTGGGGAGAGGTCGGGCAGTGAGAGCTGCCCCAGCGTGCTGACCTCTCCTTGCAGTGAGAAGACGTTCGATTTCAAAGGGCTCAGAAGAATGAGCAGAACATTTTCTGAGTGCTCTTACCCTGAAACAGAGGAGGAGGAACTGCTGGACAGGGATTCCTGCCATCGGTTTGAAAAGAGATCAGGCAGGAGTGAGCTTCCTTCTGCTGCTTTCCTGAAGGGCCCTGTAAGGAAAGAGTCCTCTGCAGTGCTTAACAGAATACAGAAGATCGAGCAGGCACTGAAAGAGCAGCCTGGCAGAGGCCTCCCCCAGTTACCAAGTAGCTGTTACAGTGTTGACAAAGGGAGGAAAAAGTCTGTGACTCTGAGTACTGTGGAGGGACTGAGTGAAACCCTAAGTGATAGCAAAGGAGGGAGTGTTATTTTGGGGAGTGAACCAGAAACACCTGCTGAGGCCGAGAAGAGCAGTAAGACAAAACAGGGGGTTACTGCAAACTCAGCTGGCTCTAAACTGCTCCTTGAAAGCCCAGCTAACACCGCGGTGAATCCTGTCCCCAAGCCCAAACGCACCTTTGAATATGAAGCAGACAAAAACCACAAAAGCAAACCAAGCAATGGCCTACCTCCATCTCCAACACCTGCTGCTCCTCCTCCCCTCCCGTCCACCCCTGCACCCCCCGTGACCAGAAGGCAGAAGAAAGAGTCACGCTTTCACAGAAAATCCCAGAATAGGTAAAATTCAAGGAAATGTCTTCCACTTGATCCTCAAATAAATAAATGTGCCGTATTTCTTTAGTAACAATATTTTAAATCTCCTTTTAATGCAATGCTTTTGACCTGAGAAATGCTAGGAATTGCGTGCAAGACAAGTGGTTTTTTCTGCTGGACCGTGCTGATTGGATGCACTGGTTCAATGCCTTTACATGGCTACAGTTTTGGAATTTTCCAACCTGCATTCCTCAATCCCTGGAAAAGGCTCTAGATTATGTGTGCTAAAAGTTATCTCATTTATTTTGGCACAAATGCCCTTACTTGAGATTGTTAATGGAGCATAATTTCATTATCTTCTTGTAGCAGTACCATAGCTGATCTATCATAGTCCTATCTGTCTCTTCACTGCAAAATATACCAGCAGAGGGTTTGCGTTTCCAAAGCTTGTTACCACAGCAATGTTGATGATTTTATTTAATTCAGTGCTTAGAAATGTTCTCCTAAGTTACTATCAATAGCTGTAGAGGATTAATGCTGAGAAAAATACGTTTTAGCACAGAAAGGCCTTTATATCCTTCCTGAGTGAATGATGAGCAGAGTATACAGCTACATTTCCCCAGCGGTCTGTGGAGCTTGGCTTGTTTTAACTACAGGATTCCCCTTGACCTTTTGGAAATGGTACAACTCATTCTGCTCACCACTTAGAAAATTGTAGGCATAGTTGTTGTTAAGCATTCAAAGTACGGCATTTTTAACAAGTTCACCTATCTGTGCCTGTGTATGATACACACACGCTCTTGGTATTTAGTGATGAGCTTTGTGAGTAACTGCTAAACAGCATCTCAAATGCACGCTATCAATTCAGTATCTGCTGCTTGATGTTGGTTCTATTAATTAAAAGTTTATGTCAGCACAACCTGACCTGAAGTACCCTGGACAGGAAATGGAGAAGAGGAGCCTTCAGATTCTGTTCTTTACTTTCAAGAGACACCTGCTTCTGAAATGGGTCAAACAGCTCTGCTGATGTGTGGTGTTTCTCTGAGAAAGGTGGGGAGGGAAATGTGGAAAGCCAAGCTCTGATTAGTGGTGCTTATCTTTGAGTTCTGGCAGTAATCTCAGCTAGAGGAAGTAAATCGAGATTTTAACAAGAATTTATGAAATAAAGCTGACCTCATTTTGTTCAGCACAGCATTTCCAATGTACGGAAACCAAACAATAATTTTTAAATATTCTGCTGTAAATAATAGCCTTTATTGGAAAATTAAGGGACAAGTGGTAAAATGGTCTGTGTGATGGGTGGCGGAGAGGAGTGAGTAACAGGAGATTATTCTTGCAGAGAATCACCATGTGACCTGCGGCTCAGTGATCAAAGTCACACTCACACTGAGTGTGAGACCATACAAGTCATCTGAGAACCACAGACTTTTGTTACAGTGAGTTTGTGAGATGAAGTTTTGAAACTTTTTTCAAGCAGAGGTAAACTGATGCTTGCACCTGCTGTTCTGCAGGTTCAGTCCCCTGTCATAGCAGAGTTAGACAACAGCATGGTTCAGCAATGGAGCCTCAGTCCTGGGTGGGGCTAGTAGGTATGAGACCAAAACAAAAGCAATATATATCAACTGAAGTTGTGATGAGTGGAGTATAAGTTGTAGGATTTACAGTGTTTCGTGTGTACCTGATGATTCTTGCAGCTCAGTTTGACATTGTACAGGGTAGGTTTCCATTTGCTTGTAACAGCTTTACCCTGCTGTAGTTTAGTGGTTTCTCTGGACTTATCTCTGATTACTGATGATCTAAGTAAATTTAAATCGACATCCCAAAATCACAGGTTTGCTGGCTGACTTCAAGGCTGGGTGGAAATCCTTGATAAAATCTTAACTTTATTGTCTCTGGTATTGTCCTTCCTTTAGTTACCATAAGAATTCCAACATTTGCAAAGAGCTTGAGACCATACAAATCGTCCTAAGAGTGACAGTATTTTCTTAATATTAGTTATTGATATCTCAGTCTCTAAAGTGTTCTCTTTTTGAAAACATAGTTCGTTATGTCTACAGCTTGTAACTGTGTTTCAGATTGAACATACAAGTGGTTTGCACTCACTGGAATGTCATGAGAATGGACTCTGGATATTTATTCTAATATTTTAGTTGAAAACACTGTGATGGCTAATGTCACATTATAGTAAAGTGGAGGAAGTCTCTCATATTTGCCTGCTATAGCATACAGCCAGTCTGTATTCAGAGGACCCTGATGCCCCTGGAAGCTTCTATACTTCAGATTGATGTGAGCTGGATGTTCCCTAGGGGTTGGAGATCCTCTGGCACAGATACAGCGCAGGAGGGGAGTGTCACAGGATAGGCTTGGACCACAGCTGAATGCTGGTCAACAAAACCGTTCCTGTGGTCCTATGCAGTGTCACTGCATCATAGTGTTGCCTTGAAATCTATAAGAGTTGGGTATTTACTTTAGAAAGTCTCATTTCACACACAGGTATGTCTTCAGTGCCTAAAGCATGTTTTATAGCTGCCAGGAGGTGTGGAGGAGCAGATGTCTGCATCTGAAATGCATGGCTTGTTTCTGCCACGATCCTGATGTGCACAACATGGAGCTGGATATTCTTAAGATTAGGGAAAGGAGAGAGAGGGGTCTCCTAAGCCTGCTCCAGACGCGTAAGTCTGCTCCAGCAGGCGACTAGGAAATGCTCTTGTCAAATGCAGTGTTTGTACAATAGTCACTGTATTGCCTGTAGGGATACTCTTGATCCAATTAACAGGCTGAAGTATGTCTCATGAGACTCTGCCCCTGCCATATGGATATGCTGTCAACATATGTTCCACTCCAGCTGGGGAGAAGAGGAAAGGAGTTTGAGGGCAGGATGATTTACAGTTCATCCAGTTTGGGTATCAATGAGTAAAATATGGGCATCAGCACAGTCTCTGCAAGCCTTACAGCACCCTGGGATTTACGCTGCAACTTGAGCCCATTTTTCACATCATTTCACCCTCAGCACTAAATCAGTCCAATGAACGCTAGCCCCTGCACAGCTGGCAATGCAAACCATGCACCTTCCAGCTTCAGTGTGGTTGTTGCCTCAGAGAACAAGTGCTAAGCAAACTGGAAAATGGGGAGGGTTTGGGCTCCTCCACGCAGAGCTGCTCGGCAGCACTGGGACAGGTGTGGGTGAGAGGCGGTGAACCACCTCTCCTTCAAATCCCTGGGTGGGAAACAAATTGTGGGGGTTCGTCTGACCCAGCTGCGCCTCACCTTCCTGCCAGGAAGCCTGAACCTTCAGGCCCCCAGCCATCAGCCTGGGTTGCTCATCCACCCCAGAGAGTCTTAATTTCCTCCATGCTTTGTCCTTTGCCGCCAGTGCTTGATACAGGGTGTGCAAGGGAAGTGGATGACTTTCACATCAGTCTGCCTTTGGCATTTGTACGCTGACCTTTATGCAGGAAAATTTCTGAAGGTTGAAGACATGTAAGTGTTCAAACTAAGGGCTATGTCTCGCAGAGCAACTGGTGGAGGAATGCTTTCCAGAGAAATGTCTTTCTTGAGGAGAGAGGGCCGCATGTTTCTGGGGCCTCTGGAAAGAGCAAAGCAATTTCTAATCTGAGGACTGTGCTGCTAACTTACTCTGTAAACTTTGAAAAATATCATGTACTTTCTTGGTATTTTCTCCCTGTCTGCATAATGGGGATATCAATACTTCCAGCCTCATAAAGGTGTCACAGATTGCTATACCAAAAGACTGCTGTGAGCACAGGACTTGGGGTCCTCTACAAGTTAGTCCTTAAAGCATGATGTGTAATTTTTTTTTTTTTCATTTTATATATATTTCTTAGCAAACAAATTCTTAGCTAAATGTTTGAGTCATTTTGCATTCTAGTTACTAATTATTTATTGATTTAAACTTTAGAAAATCCTTTGAGTTTGAGGATGCGTCAAGTCTTCAATCCCTGTACCCTCCTTCCCCAACTGAGAATGGGACTGAGAGCCAGCATAAATTTGGATCCAAGAGCACTTTAGAAGAAAATGCCTATGAAGACATTGTAGGTAAGAACCTGTCACAGCGTGTGGGCTCCCAGCGGGATGTTGAGCAGTTGTGGGCAGACTGCGCATTGTTGAACATATGGCCTGTGCAAGAACATTCAGTTCTGTCAGTAAAGAGAGACTAAATGGAGGGTAAATGGAGTTGGTGCATCAGTGCAAGCATAACTCTCAGTCTGCCTGCAGGAGGTCTCAATTCTTTTGGACTTCATTGCATGGTACTGGAAACAGACTATTTGGTCAGCTTTTTGCCATGCTTTTCAAGAACCAAATCATTATTTTTATCAAGGCTGTGGCTTGAATCCTTGAGTGGTGTAATAATGTAAAGAACTCGAGATAGTATTTACACAACTATCCAATAGCAAGATTAACCTCACAGGCCTCGTGTAGTCAGCCTGAGCTTTTCAGGACTCCTGTGTGGAGTGCCCTGAAACACTTGTTTGTAGCACCATTCCTGGTCTCCCCTAAGTCCCAGTTGCTGGTTAAAGAAAAAATAATTTCCTTTAGCTATAGAGTCATCAGGAATGCACAACAAAAACACTGTTTTGATTAAGCTTCACAAGAAAAACATGTTTCTTTTGGTCTTAGAAGGAAATGTATGGCCTACACATACATTCTTTTAACATCAAAAAAGTTGTTATAATTGCCGAAAATTGGGCAGCCCTTCAGAGCACAAATTTTCCATACAAGTGATGAATATCTGCATTGTTTTTAACTCTTTCAGTATTGTATTACTACAACAGATACAAAGGGTACTTCATTTTACTTTGGACAATGAATCTTTTTTGTACTGAAAGCTGGACATCTACCAAGATAGTCAGGGGCCCGAGAGCATGTGTCCTCTGAAGAGACACTGACAAGTTGGGCTTGTTTAGTCTGATAAAAAGGAGGACCAGAGGCACTCTAATACTGCTTACAAATGTTTGAAGTGCAAGCAAAGATACTAGAACAAAACTCTTCTTGGTTGTATCAGTTGATAGAGCAAGGAACAGCGGCCACAAACTGCAGCTTGGGGCTCTTTGTCCTTATACCCAAATTCTGTCTCTGACTTGTCAGCCTCCTGAACACAGGAATTTATTCTTTCCTGTTTCAGCTGTACTCTCCCTCTATACCATTCAAAAAAACACTTTCAGAACACAAAGAAATGCTACTGTTCAGTGTCTGTTAATAAAAATGAGAGCTCATGTAGATACTAAAAAGTTTTTTTTCTGTGGAGAGCATCCTTATACAATCATTGGCCTTCTCAATGAACAGTCAGACTACTGCGCAATTTGCACTTGCAAATGTATTGTGCATTAATTACAGGGCTCACCTTTGCTCGGGATCTCTCAACATGCTCCCAGATGTTAGGTGGTAATGCTTCTTTTCCTTGCTTTGGTTTGTTAAATATCAAAATAAAATGTACAGGGCTGGTAAGAAGCTTTCTTCAAATGAGAAGTAGTCTTGGGTTCAGTAAAACAAAGTCATAATGGGCTCTTCAAACTCAGGGGAACTATTAGCCAGCTTCCCTGCACATTAGAATTTGGGCATTTTGGCAGGGCAGTGGGAAGAGAATGCAAAAATTCAGATCTGTGGACAAACACAGAACTTTTGTACTGCTTTTTAACAACCTCTTTCCAAAGCACTTCATTCAATACAGGCAGTGAGGGGGGACTACCAAATCAGTGTAATTGTTATAAACTGTCAAATGTGATTAAAGACAAGCCAAAGTAGTCTGATCTCTGGCTTTAAAGAAACTATCGTAGTTTTGTGTATCACATCTGCATAATTTACACTAGTAGTGCTAGACCCCAGTCTCCTAAGTAGCACTTTTGTACTCATGCAAACCAGGTGTCTGCAAGAGTGAGTTTATTTTATAGATTTACATCTGCTTCAAAGCTATGAAGGACTCTGTCACTGCTGCTTTGGGTTTTCTTTTCAAATGGTTGCCCTAAAGGTGGTAGTGGGTTTTTTTGTCTATAGCTGGTTGAATCTCCTGCCTCCCTAAAAGCTTGTAGGTAGTTAAAACATGGTCACTGTGATAATAAATTTAATAAAGCCCCCTCCTGCTCTACTCCCTGTAGAATTAAGACTTTTAATGCAAGTAAGTGTTAAAGCACACACAAAAAGGGCTGTGAATCTTGAGCAATGCTCTAAGCACTCTACTGTGAGACAGAATCATAAAAAACAATTCAGGTTGGAAGGGACTCTGGAGTCAGCTGGTCCAACCTCTGCTCAAAGCAGGACTAGTTTCAAAGTTAGATCAGGTTGCTCAGGGCTATGTCTGGTTGAGTTTTCAAAATATCTTAGGAGGATGGTTCCACCACCTCTCTGCACAGCCTGCTCCACAGCTTAAACTCCACCGTGAAGAATTTTTTCTTGATATCGCTGTGCAGGAATTTTTCTTTCTATCCAGTCAGAATTCTCCTTGTTGCTATTTGTGATCGTTGTATTTCATCCTTTCACTGTGCACCTCCAAGAAGTGTCTGCCTCTGCCTTTTCCATAACCCCTTTCTAGGCAGTGGAAGACAGCATTTGGGGGGGGTGGTGTGGTGTGGGTGTGTCACAGACTTCTCTAGGCTAAACAGTCCCAGTTTTCTCAGCCTTTTCTTGCTTATGTCGTATGCTCCAGCCCCAACCATCTTAGCAGCCTTGCTCTTGGCTATCTCCAGTCTGTTGATGCCTTTCTGGTACTATGAATACTCCAGATGCAGCCTTGCAAGGGCCAAACAGAGGACAATTACCACTTCCCATGACTTGCTAGCCATGCTTTTGCTAATGCAGGTAAAGTGTGGTTGGCCGCCTTTGCCACAGGCACACACTGCTGCCTTCTGCTCAGTTCGTTGCCCAGGGGGACCCTAAGCCTTTTGTAGCTCCCTCACTGGTTGTCCCCAGCACAGACTGCTGCAGGGCTATTCTGACCCACATGTGGGACTGTCTTTCCTAAACTTCCCAAAGTTCCTGTCGAGCCATTCCCTCAGCTTGCTGAGGTCCCCCAGGACAGAAGGCCAGCTCTCCTGTCTGTCAGTGTGTCCCCCAGCCTGGTGCCCCCCAGAAGGACATCTCTCCCTCGCTGGAAAGCAGAGGAGAGCTGTGGATAAGTTGTGAATTATCTATCAGAGGGTATCTTAAAAAAGACCCAAACATATTTAATGTTAGATATCTACAAGATACTGTGTGGGGTACCGAGTGCTCTCACTCAGACTAGTACAATGATAAAAATACAGCTTCTAAGCATGTAAGTGCTAGGGCTAGAGTCATTGGTTTTGAGGTTATTACATGATATCTTCAACTGATGCATATGCACACTAAACCTTTGTCTTTCTCCTGGTGCCCTTACATGGTTTCCTTCTTTAATGACCAGGACAGTGATAAACTGCTATGGGTAATTTATGTTATTTTGAGAGCTGACTTTAAAAAAAAAAAAAAAAAAAAAAAGTTTTAAGGTACACTAAAACCAAAAATGATTGTGCTTTGAAATCCTGTGACATTATGAACCAGACACTTTGTTTAATTTTGTAATATTTTTGTACACTTTAATAGATTAAATATCTACCTGTTAAGTTCAAGACAAATACTGGATTGGAACATAACAATTCATTCTGCATTAATCAAGAAGCAGTTGTATGAAGGGATGCACATTCCTAATATTAATCAGAGCTGTATTCCATGTGTAAGTAACCATGTGGACTTCATTCATCTTCTGTACTAGCACTCACAGGAATGTGGCAGTCATAGTAAACTTAACATTGTTTTGCTTCTTGTGGTTTTGAATGAGTCTTTAATCAGACCAAAATTGATGTGGCTTTATGAATCCAGTTGGGGAAACCATGCTTGGCTTTGTGTGAATTAAAGAAACTATCATAGTATTAAGAGGTGTCCGAGACGGTTGTTTCTGCTGTGTTTGTGGACAACAGTATTTCCTGTCATATGTACCATACAGTTTCAGTTTTCCAGTCTGTTCCCCTAAATGCAGTTTTGATACTTGAATATTGTTATTTAATCTCTGGTGTCTCTAAGGCATTTTTCACCTGACATCTAGAAGAAAGCACTTGTTACTATCACCAAAAAAAGTTGAATGAGTAAAGTGAAGGCGAGGTTACGGATACAATATTAACTTGAGAAAATCTAAGTAAAACCATGTAAATTATAGTTTGTGTTTGTAAGAGAAACTGCACTCACAATTCAGAAATTAAATATAATGGAAGAAATCTTTGACAAGGCAAGTCTTCTTACTCTGTTTGTAACTCCTCAGAGTGCTGGACACAGTAGAACAGGTGGAGATTTCCTCTAAGAGGACACTACATAGGTGTGTAGGAGACCCATTGCCCAGCTGGGCCGTGCATATTGCATTGTAGATTGACAATGTCTAATTTGATGTTGCACAACTCCATTTGCTCTGTCCAAGCAAGAGCCATTTGCTCTTACAGCTGCCTGGCCCTCATTTAAAACATCTTTTTTCCCCAGGAAGAATGAAAGTGATTTAAATGCTTTTCCTCCCTGAAGATCTGTGACTAACAGGTCATCCAGAGAAATGAGAACAGATGAATCTGGGTCTCTGAGCTATTTCCCAGTATGTCAGAAGTCATAAGAGAGGAGGTGGAACAGTATGTCTGAAATCAGCACTAGTAAGTAGAGTGTCAGGGCACCCTAACCCAGGTGGGTGCCTGAGCAGTTAAAACAGGCAGGTGTGGACCTACAAGCAAGATCCTGAGCATGGAGGGAATGTTGGTGGCTTAACCTTCCCTGTGGAGTCCAGGACAGCATGTCACCCCCTTTATCCCTCCTGGTAAGGCATCTCATCTCTCCTAAACCAATTAGTTGTTTTGAATTCTGATTTAAATTGGACATAGTGCATGTCATGTAACAAATGGAATGATTTAGCTGTTTTACTGAATCCTCCGTTGTGTGTGCCAAGAGCTGCAGAAATGATGACTGAGGTCCAGTTGGAAGATGTTCCAGCTTGACATTGCTTTCAAATTAGAACATTTACAAAGTTCTTCCAGTAAATGTGGAAAAAGGTTAGA